TTTGTGACTGAGATATTTCACTCAGCATAATGTCCTCCAGGGTCACCCATTTTGTATAATATTCATGAGTTCCTTGTTTTCAGTGCAGCATGATATTCCATTGTGTGAATATACCACAGCTTCACCATCCAATCATTTTATGGCACTTGGATTGTTTCCAACTCCTTGCTGTTGTGAACAAAGCCTCAAAAAACATGAGTGAGCATATATCTGCTTGAGTGGCAGTTATGATTTCTTTACGTTATATTCCCAGTAGTAGAATTGCTGGGTCAAATGGTATTTCTTATTTGCAACATTTTGAGAAAGTCCCATACTGCCTTCCATAGTGATTGCACCATTTTACACTCCCACCAACAGTGAATAAGGGTTTCAGTTTCTCCACAACTTCGCCAGCATTTGGTGTTTGATGTTAAATTTTGCTATTCTTATTGGGTGATATGATATCTCATAGTTGTTTTGATTTTCATCTCTCTTAGAGGTAGGAATTTTGAACATTTTTTTCATGTATTTATTTGCCATCTGAATGTCTTCTTTGGTGAATTGTCTGTCCATATCCTGTGCCCATTTTTCAGTTGGGTTGTTTACTTTTATCTTGTTGTGGTGTTCAGGTGTTCTATAAATTCTAGATATAAGTCCCTTGTCTGACATGTCATTACCAAATTTTTTTCTCAGTTTGTGGCTTCCCCTTTTAACCCTGTTGGAGAAGTTTTTGTATGTGCATAGGGATTTGACTCTTAGAAGGTCCCATTTATCTATTGTATCCTGTCCTGGTTGCAGGATTTTCATGGTGCTTGGAAGACTGTTAATGCTGTGGATTAGGGCTTCTAGAGTTCTTCCAAGCTTTTTTCTAATGAAATTTATAGTCCTTGGTTTTAGTCCTAGGTCCTTGATCAACCTGGAGTTGGTTTTTGTGTATGGAGTTGAGGTGTTGATCTTGCTTGAGTTTTCTACAAGTAGTTTTCCAATTTTGCGAACACCATTTGTTAAAAAAGGCTGTTGTTTCCTCACTTAACTGATATTATCTCCTTGTCAAAGAGTCTTGGATTTTGTCAAAAGCCTTTTCTGCATCAATTGATAGGATTATGTGGTTTTTGTTTCTTGCTTTGTTAATGATGAATTACATTGACTGTTTTTGTTTTTTGTTTTGTTTTTTTTTATATTGAGCCATCCTTGCATACCTGTTATGAATCCCACTTGGTCCTGGTGAATTACTTTTTTTTTATGACCAATTTTTATTTATTCCAAGAATACAAAGTTGTCTTAACATATAAAAATAATTATTAATCAACATTTAAAAATCAAATTTCTCTCCGACATGGGATAACTGGATCTCTATATACCCTTCCAGCTGAATGACAGCAAAGTAGCCAAAATATATGAGACAGTGGTTTTAAAGAAAGCGAACACAAGGCAGAAAAGGATCATGATCTCTGAGAGTTAGAAACAAATGAAATGAACCCTGTGATTGCCCCCATTTACTGGCTGGAGAGAGTTTCCAAAGCTTCTCTCAAGGAGGAGGTTCTCAAGTAGATTCCTTTGGATTCCATAAATGGGGGAAGTAGAACTGAGATCCTGATGACTCATTTGACAATACAGAGTACCAAAGAGAAAACTTCACTGCAGTTTGAAAGCCTTAGAGATCTACAGAGTTCCCTCTGAGTATCCGGAATAGTGCTGATAAAAATATGCAGGACTAGGAGAGTGGGCAAAGAGGAACCATGTTATATTGTATTGTGTTATAAAGGATTATAGTATAGTGCTGGTGCTTAACACGGGACTGGACACAATACCTGTGCCTACCAACCACACTAAAAGAAGTTTACAGCTCACAAAGCATTAGGTAAAATGCTAAGCAAAGTCTTGTAGTGAGGAATGATTAAAATAATTGTAAAGCATGAAAGAAATCATAAAAACAGGAACTGAAAGGACCACATTATTTTCAGATAGCTTAACTGAATGCCAGAATGAAAATCAAGAATATTTATAGAAATGTAAAAATACTCAGCACCCAAATATGATCTGTAAGGATAATTATCAATCAGTTAAAATCAGTGTGCCAGCCAAGAACTCAGAAGCTACATCTCATTGCCATCAAGTCAGATCCCACTTATAGCTGACCCTTCCATGGATTTTTAGAAACTGTAAATCACTATTGCCCATCTTTCTCCTGCAACCATGAACTGGCACAGATTGAGAGACAAAGACATTAAAAGATTGAGAGACAAAGACATTGTTAAATCTGTGTCATATATGTTAAAACGTTAAAGATGTCAAAGATTTTAAAAACATCCAAATTGAATTTCTAGAAATGAAAACTACAGCCTCTAAAATGAAATATATTCTGGATAGGATTAACAACAGATGGCAAAATGAAAGATTAGTGAACTTGAAGACTTAACAGTAGAAACTTTCTAAGCATCTACTATGGTATGCTATGCAGTATGCTGAGCTCCAGAACATATAAAAATGATTGAGACAGGCTCTTGAACTTTGAGAACTCTTTCTTATGTGAAGTCAACATATTTTGTGACTAAATAAATGTCATTTCAGAGCTATCAGGACAATATTTAAATTTGTATCCTGTCAGATATCCAGGGATGTATTTTCTGCGTAACATACCCTTGTAGCTCTCCACTATTTGTTGATGAATTACTTTTTTGTTGGATTCTATTGGCCGGATTTAATTCAGAATTTTTGCATCTATGTTCATGAGAGACATTGGCCTATAGTTTTCTATTTTGGTGATGTCTTTACCTGGCTTTGTTATCAAGGATATGTTTGCTTCATAGAATGAGTCTGGGAGAATTCCATCTTTTCCTATTTTCTGAAATAGTGTATGTAGAATTGGTGACAGTTCTTCTCTGAATGTTTAATAAAATTCACTTGTAAAACCATCTGGTCCAGGGCTTTTTTGCCTGGAAGTTGTTTTATTACCTTTTCAATTTCTTCTTTTGTAATGAATTTGTTCAGGCGTTCAATTTCATTTTGTGTCAATTTAGGTAGATTATGAATTTCTAAGTATTTGTCCATTTCTGCTACATTTTCATATTTGTTTGAGTGTAGTTTTTAATAATATTCCAATATTAGCCTTTTTATTTTAGTTGGTTCTGTTGTGACCTTCCACATTTCATCTTTTATTCAAATTATTTGTGTCTCTTCTTTTGTTAGTGGTTTGTCAATTTTATTCACCTTTCTAATAAACAACTCCTAGTTTTGTTTATGGATTCACTTGTTTTTGTGTTTTCTATTGATTTCTGCTCGAATTTTTATAATTTCAGTTTTTTTAGAAGGTTTTGGGTTTTCTTGCTGTTCTTTTTCAATTGGTTAGAGATGTTGGGTTAGAGAGTCATTTTTGGGTCATTTGAGTCATGTCGGGTCATTTTTTTTTTCCTACTTTCTGATGTGTTTGCTTATTGCTGTAAATTGGCCTCAGATTACTGCTTTGGCTGTTTCCTGAGGTTTGAGCAAGTGGTGTTTTCATTGTCATTTGTTTCAAGAAACTCTTTAATTACATTTTTTATCTCTTCTAGTATCTAGTCATGTTAAAGCAGGGTGTTGTTCAGCTTCCAAATGTATAGGTTTTTTTCCTCATTTATCCTCTTGTTATTAATTTCTAATTTTGTAGCATTGTGGTCTGGGAAGACGCTTTGTATTATTTTTATGTTTTTTAATTTAGTGATGCTTGCCTTGTGACCTAAAATGTGCTTGATCTATTCTGGAGAATGTTCCATATGCACGTTGGAGAAGATGGTATACTGTGGGTTTTTTTGGGTGCATTAAATATCTATGAGGTCGAGTTGGTTTATTGTGTGGTTTAATTCTTCAGCATCTTTGTTGAGTTTCTTTCTGATAGTTCTATCTTGTCTTGAGAGTGGTGTATTGAAGTCTCCAACTATTATAATAATGTTGTCTATTTCCTTTTTCAGTTTTGTTCATGTTTTATATATTTTTCAGGTCTTTCATTTGGTGCATGTTGTTGTTGTTGTTATGTGCTGTCGAGTCACCTGCAACTCATAGCG